AGTCTAGAAAAATTGGTTGAAGATTGTACTCACAATTAAAATTACTAAATAGTGAAAATACTAGTTATGTTTCTCTCTCTCTTTCTTTCTTTTATTGAGCTCTACATTTTCCTCTACTTCCTTCCCTTCCTCTCCTCCATTTCAACCCTCTCCCATGGTCTCCATCCTCCCAATTTACTCGGGAGATCATGTCTTTTACTACTTACCATGTAGATTAGATCTATGTATATCTCTCTGAGAGTCCTCATTGTTGTGTAGGTGCTCTGGAATTGTGATTTGTAGGCTGGTTTTCTTTGCTTTATGTTTAAAAACCACTTATGAGTGAGTACATATAATAATTGTTTTTCTGGGTCTGGGTTACCTCACTCATTATGATGTTTTCTAGCTCCATCCATTTGCCTGCAAATTTCTATGACAAACAATGCTGCTATGAATATAGTGGAGGGTTAAGTATTATTTTATTTCATTTTTATGTGTGTGTTTCTGTGTGTGAATGCGTACGAGTGTGTGTGCCTACAGGGTGCCCATGGAGGTCAGAAGGGGCCATCAGATCTGGAGTTACAGGTAGCTGTTGAGTCGCCATCTGGGTGCTGAGGCCTGTAAATTTCAAGATGTCATTTTTTTTCTGCTGTGTAGTACTCCATTGTGTGTGTACCACATTTTCCATATCCATTCTTTGGTGGAGGGGCATTTAGGTGGTTTCCAGGTTTTGTCTATGACAAACAATGCTGCTATGAATATAGTGGAGCACATGTCCTTTGTGGTATGATTGACCAGGGATAGTTATGTTTCCTTAATGTACATTATGCAGGACCTTGAAAAAAGAAATAGATGTGGAAGTTGTATATCAACCTTAGTAATATTCACTTAATGTTATGCATTTGCCTCTGCCTTTACCCTCATTCTATATTCAGAAGTAATATCTTTCTACTTTATCCATTTGATTTTATTTTTCTACCTGAGCTCGTATACATTATGTGGCTATAGTCTATATAGTTTAATATAGTTACCCAGATCTTTTAAAAACTTGAGGCAGTTGATGAGTGCCAGGTTAACTGGCCACTAGTTAAATTACATTTAAAAAAATCTTTGGTATTTTTATTTGGTTGTAGGAAGTAAACATTATATTCTTTGTTTAAAGAAGTTAGAATTTTGGAATTAAAAATAAAGTTTTTGGTATAGGAATACCTATCTGAGAGGTTGAAGCAGAAGTATTATGAGTTCTAGGCTAGCCTGAGCCACACACCAAAATCCTGTATCAATAAAACTGAATATAACCAAGCTCAAACTTACCACATGAGCAACCTTGAAAATTATTTGTTTAAATAACATTATTAAGTTCCACAAATTTTAAAACACAAAGCATCAAAAATAATTATATTCATTGTCGATACTAGTGTGTTTTAGCTACTAAGGTGCCATTAATTAATATTCCATAAAGGCCCATATCTCTCTAGCCTAAGAGTTTGAGGTAGAGGAAGGAGAGAAAACCAAAGAGGGATGCAAAAGAATGCATGAAAGTGTAAATGAAGTAATAACCAGCTGGTACAGCTTTTAACCTTCTCATCTGGCTCAATTTTTATAGAGTTCCTTCTTTATCACTTTAGTGACACAGTGTTTGCGGTTATAGGTGTGGGCCAATGTTATAGCATGTTTTGCATAGGCATGAGACTCTGGGTTCAAGTCCCAGCACCAAAAGAAATAAAAACAAAACAATTAAAAAAAATCAATATTTGTAGGAGTAAAGGAATGTGTCTAGAGATGTGAAAACAGGAAAGAAATGATGTTTACAAATATGGCTTAATTGAACGCTATTCTAAGTGGTCACTTATTTAGACTTCAATATCATTTTAGCACTACATTCCTCATATATTGTAGATACACTAAACAAACATGAAATATGCTTAAACTGGCTTTGTGTTTTGACTATTGAAAGATCTCTGTGTTTAGAAGTAGTTTTATATTCAATTATGTTGTTTAGAGTTAATATTGAGTTATGACTCTATTTAGTTTTATTATTGTATTATGAAGCTGGAGTTAATGATTTGAAAGTATCAAATGTATAATTAGTAGTATGTTTTTCATTTCTATAAGAATGAAATGAGTCATTATAGACTCTTCTGTTCATATGAATGCTACCCATTTCTAACCAATGTAGGCAGCTGATGATTCTGAGGCACCTTATAGTGTTTAAAGAAAAGTTCCCAAATATCGCATGGGCTCAAAAAATATTCGTTAAGGGCTTACTGCATTCCAAGGACCAGGATCTTGACTGGGATTACAGAGAGAAGTAAGTTCTGACCTTAAGTAACCCTAGAGCTTTATGGTGATAGTTCTATGACAAAGTGTTAATTATAAATAAAATTGGTATGGAAGAACAAGAGGAAGGTTTCCATTTTAAAATGGGCCATTGCAGAAAATCTTATGGAAAGTTTAGTGGAAGAGTATAGTTTAAAGTATAAAAACTGACCAGATATGGATGGAGTGGGAGGCAGCAGCTCACAGAGGGAGAAGTGACAGATGGAGAGACATCATATAAAAAATGGTGGGGCGTATGAAACAACATAGTATGTGTAACAGTCACTGTGAACCTAGTATTAAAGCATAATGGGTTAAGTGAAAAGAAGTTCCCAAAATGAGCATGGGCAATTGATAGCATTAGTGGGAGATATCATTCTTTGGGTACTGGTTAGTGTACACCAGGCTTGATATGTATGATCATACTCAGTCTTGACAACATTCTCTGAGGTGTATAATCTTACATTCCTCTTATTGTCTAGCCTGTTTTCTGACAATGCTTTGCTTTTCTGAGGACTTGATCACTGCAGTATGTGCCATTAAAAATCAAATGGAGGTACTAATGAGGAGCTGTCCCTGGAAGGAGGGATGACACTACCACCCTTTCAGTTATGTCCGCAAGTTTACAAAATCCAGAACGTTCTCACAGTTGCACAGTTGACTGTACTCGGGGGATGTAGATTCATTGTAGCTACTTTCATATCAGACAAAAATTTCATCATAATGCTTTGAGGCAGTAGCCCAATACGAGGTGCTTAGCCAATAACACCATAAAATCCAAGGTCAAATGAATAGATGTATGTTATTTAAAGATGAAAGGGAAGCCTCAGAATATTTGGGAGTGACAGAGATAGATTATAACCGATGTCACCTGAACACAAACTGAAGCTGGTGTATATATTTGAGCCTGAGAAAATGCAGACTTCAAAAAACATTTACATGGGTTCTTAAATTAATTTCCTTTGATCCAGCTACCATCCTCTGTAGTTTGACAATTAAGAGTATTCACTTGAAATGCTTCAGTATCTCATACTTTGGAGTGTAAGAATACATAATCTAGATTTTTAAAAGGTATATTAAGTATTAAGGGATAGTAGTTTGCTTCTCAATCAGGAGGGCTGCAGCAACAGCCAGTTGGCATTATAGGAATTGCTTACAGAGCTACATAGTGAAATATAGTCTGATTAAGGAGCTGTCGCCATTCCAGAACCAATTGGTCTGTCTAGGTAAAAAAATATGTGGCTGCTGCCATCAGCTCCCTATCTACGTCATCTCTGTTGCCACCCATACCAGCAAGATGGATGGCTTGTTCATGGCCTATTTCTTCACATAGTTTATTTCTGAGTCTATACCTTTTATAAATGTGTTTCATTGGTGAAGACTAAGCCACATGTCTGTACTGAAATTATATATAAGTGAAGTAGACAAATGCGGTTTTGATGGAGTCATTGTTTTAAAGTGAAATTGAAAATGTGCGGATGCATTAAAATATAGAAAGCTTAAAAAAATAAAAAAAATATAGAAAGCTTGTGTAAATGGTGCTGGGCATCCAAAAATGACAGATGACCTCTGGCATCTTTTAACTAGTCTCCTGGCCATTAGTCAGATTTTTCTCATTATTCATAACTCAAATCCAGACTAAATCTTTGCTGACCTTACATCTGTCCTATGTTTTTAAGGGATCTTATACATGACTCCATTATAATAACTTGTACCTATTAGATCATGAATTAGTTTTGTTTGTTTAGTCGACAAACTTAAATAACATATACTAAGGACCAGACATTGATTCATAAATAATAGCATTTAATTTTATTATAAAAGCAGTTTCTCAGCTTTTCAATGTTAACTGTCTAGCATAGTACTTTATGTATAGTATATGTTAAATAAGTAAGTGATTCCAATTTTAAAAGTCTCTGTCCTTTGACTTTACTATATTTTCATGTCTATATTTCATATCCAAATCTATAAAGAAAACATTAACAAAAAATAAACTGTACACAAATGGGGATGCAATGAATGAGTTCTTTGCCAGCTACAATAGCAGGAATGAAATAGTTTATAAGAGTCAACAGTTTGTAGGAACAGACATAGGGATGAGAAGTGGCAGAGGAGATATAACATGATCAAAGTGTATTTTATACATGTGTGAAGGTTCATAATGAAACACTTATATAGTTGATACAAGGTAATTTATGACGGTTTTTCTTTTCATAATACCCAATACAGACATAGACACACAGTCAGCTAGATTTCCTCTTTCTTTTTCTTTTTCATATGCATCAACTTTCTGAGAATTTTTCTTTGGTGTTATGTCTCCTGATAATTTGTCTATCACATTTGTTTTCCTGGGTGACAGTGTTCCTTGGGAAGCATGGACCAAGGGTAATTTGGTGTGTGTGTGAGTGTGTGTTATTGAGATAAATGAATGGCTCTTATAGGACTGTGTAATGTATATTTATTTTATGAACCAACAAAGTGTTCAGTAGCATAGTTTAAAAATATTATTTTCTTCTTCTCGCTGCCTGGGTAGAAATAATCATGAATATATGTGAAATATACACAAAATTATGTTATATCAAATATTAAATAATAGTGAATTATCCAAAAATATTTGCTGTTAAATATTAACTGCATTAATCATTTTTGAAGCATTTAAGCAATAATTCATCCATCCTCACAGTAAATGTCCTTTCTAACAGGAGGATATGAACCTTAACGAAGAAAAGAAGGCCCCTTTACGAAACAAGGATTTTACCACCAAGCGTGAGATGGTTGTCCAGTATATTTCTGCTACTACCAAATCTGTAAGTAGAGTCACTTCCCAGGCACCAAGAGAATAAGCTTATCTGTTTACTTAACAGTTCACAAACCTCAGCTCTTTAAATTTTTGACTATGTATACTCATATTGTCAACTAAGGAAATGATATGTATGCACTTTTACATATTTTTCATATATATCTCTGTACTGACCTGTTCATTAGACACAAGAGATCCATTATTATAGAAAAAAGACTAATATAGAAATCTCTTGACAGAATCCAGTGAATTTGAGGGCAGAGGTTTTATGCTGTTGCTAAAAATTGGCAGTGTTTGCTGGTATTCCATCTACTATACATATTGTTACATGAAAATTTCAGATTTTGAGGGAGAAAACACAAACAGCACTGCCACCTTTAATTAAGCTTACATTTAATCATGTAATTTTTAGGAATGTTTTTCATATTTTGCTTTGTTGTTTTGAGTGCAAACTGTAAGCTGGTTCATAATTGGTGTGATAAAGTTCACCTTAGTATAAAGGAAAGCACATACCAGGAACTTTAATCAAGTCTGTATGAATTTCAAAACCTAAACATATGTTTCATTGAAAGAATTTGATGTCAGCAAGAACAACTTACAACTTTAATAGAATTTTTTTTCTTGTTACCCTTCTAGGGCTCTTTGAAAAGTAGCCTTCAGATTAGAATTTTTTGTAGGAAAAATTGTATTTTTGATATGACAAAATGTATCTCTTGTGTTTTTGAAATGAACTTTACATGTTCAGATTCCATAAAATCATTGTATGCATGCGTGTATACACACATATTCATACATACACATATGTAATTTATATATAGGTGTATGAGTATATTATATATCTGTATCTGTACACATACCTTTAAAACAAAGTATTTTCAGTTTAAAACATTGACCACTGAAGAAAATGTCCTTCATTGTAAAAGTATATTCTAACAATATTTGGCTATGTCATTCATACTTTTTAGTACACTAATTCTAGTAGCAACTACTGAATTTTGTAATTGTATTGATTCTATATTGTACTTTTGGCAAGCTAAATCTGAATGCTGAACTATTTAAACATAATGCATTTCAGCTCTGCCAGAGCAGAGCAACAGCATGTTTTTTAATTAGGCTCTGGTATCCAAGGGCAGAAATATGTTTCAAATGATAAGGAAAATTTGCCATGAGCATCATTTTCAATAGAATTAGGTGATGCATAGGGTTTTTACTTTGAAATTCTGATGAATCTTTTCTCATTTTTGCACTCAAGTTATTGTTCTCAGTAAAATGCTTTAGGAAATGCAGGGCATATATATTCAGTGTTGTTTTTCAAATGCTTAAAGGAAAGCATACTAGCAAATCTATATAACTAGATCTGAGTACAAAGGGGAGATAATATATGACTAATCATTTGGTGTTTTAATGATAGAATTCGTTAGTGTCTCTGGCTCATTTGTTGGTGTTGTTTGAGTAAGTGGGACTGACTATAATGAAGATTATATGATGTTCTCATTCTGTGACCTTTGGATAATTACTCATTATGTGTGCGCAGCATAGCTTAATTTATGTTTATATGGTGTTCTCTTCAACCCACCAAAGAAATGTACACTTTGAATTATTCTACTTAGTTTCAATCAGAAACCACTGGCAGAGGCTCTAGCTTAGCATGAAGTGCACCTGTCTAACCTATTAAGGCTCTGGATTCCATCTAACACTGGAGAGAGATTGGGAGGAGGAAATGCAGAAAGGTGGAGGAAGGGAAGAAGCTAGATAAAAGCTTATTTTAACTGCTTAATTCAAATGATAGAAATGGAGTATTTCTTATAAGACATGAAATTTTCCATTTTAAGTAGCCATGAAATTAGTACTACTGATTGGATGGCTCTTATTTGTCTCCTTCAGCATACTTGTTACTCTTCTTTCTTTCACAAGAATTCCAAGATTATATTTTTTTGCTATTATTTTTCGTGGGCCAAATATTTTGATGGAAGAGTGCTTGTTGACAAAGAGTATTTTGAAGTTTTCTCACCTTGGAGAGACATTAATTAGTACTGTTTTCTGTCATTAAAACTATGAAAATTGTTTATGTAATTTCTCTTTAAAGATAAGAGGGATGCCATTCAATAAGTACCAACATTCAGTACGAAATAATGCTTGTACCTGTTCATCATTGTGACAGTCAATTTTGCACCAATTATCTCTGAATGTGTGACTGTTGGTCTGTGTGGAGCTTAAGTTCCTGCCCTGCTATCTGGCTTTCATTGTGTTAAATATGCTTTGCCTGCCTTGTACATTTTTACTCTTTTTAATTATATTCATATACCCATTAAAGATATTTCCTCATTTAACGCAGATATGATGATACCTGTCATGTTATAAAAAGGCTTTGTAGGTAATCAAAGATCTCATCTGAATGCAGAGCCAGTGTTAAAGTGAAAAAAATGTTCCATAGTTACATGTAAGATATGGGAGGACTACAGTTAAATTTTAATGTAAAATTTGTTTTCCCCTTTAAAGAACTGCATTTTTCTTTTATATGGAATTTTAACAATGAAAAAGTGAGCTCAGTGAGGAATAGACATCGTGTTCCTGGGAAAGGGCACTAAAAGATGATGAAGCAACACACAGACATGTGTCAGAACCTGTTTCTAAAACAAACAAGTCTGGTATTACATCATTAATTTTGTTACAATAAGAGTATATTAAGGAAACCACAAGTTGATATTATAAAACTATTGTTTGGTCATCCCCACACACTTAATGTAAAGTCTTATAGTAGACACTTTTGTGTAATAAAGTAATAGTAGATTGAGTAACTCAGTGATGAGTGAACTTTAAATAGGTATGTGGAGAACCTAGTGTGCTTTTATTTTCTGGGAGCCAAATGCATGTTATTGTAGGAGGTGCGGTTCTAGGCCTGACCTAAGGGAGTTGGCTTGTATGGATTATATAGTTACAAACAACAAAGAAGATTGTATGGTTTTTAAGTGCCATTGCAGAACTGGCAAACAAGCTGTTGGTATTGTTAAAGCTGCCCTACTGATTTATAACCCAGAAAGAGGCACATAGTGCTGGCGATTTAGAGAAGATCTTGAATACAACTAACAACATATGTAGGCACATTCATGAGGAAACATTATTTACTAGAGTCCTAATGTTAGTGAACTTCATGCCATTGTCCTTGTGATAATATGAAGGAAGTAGTTTACTTCTAACTTTAATTACTATTTATGAAATTCAAATTCTAGAACATGTTAGGATACACATTTGACAACATGTGAGGCATTGAGAGAGATAATTGTTCCAAAAAACTCTTCAATAGTACATAATCCAAAATCATTTCATCAATTTTATCTATAGGTTTGTAGACTTAACCAATAAAACATTTAGTTGAAAGTTGTAGTACACATGCAAATACATCTATATTTATTGTGGCTGTGTTGTCGCCATCATCAGATACTTTTCCTCGGGTCCTTTTCTTCCGTGGGCTGGGTAACATGAAACAGTTGAACCCAGATATGACCAAACTATTTTCTTCTTGCTTCTCTTGACTAATCAATCAAATATCTTTCTGTATGTGCTTTAGCTAAATTAAATCATTTTGCAGTCCAAATGAATCATTCAAACAGGCCTTCAGTGGGCTGCATTTTAGTTGTTTCACTGATTATGAACCTGTCTTAATTGTTAACACAGACTCTCATTCTTTTTCTTTTTCTCTTTCTTTCTTTCTTTCTTTCTTTCTTTCTTTCTTTCTTTCTTTCTTTTTTTTTGTCTCTTGTCTGTGCTAAAGAAACAAGGGACAAATATAACCTCTGTCTTTTTTGGCGGGAGGAAATAACTTAGGTCAACAACATATCTTACATTTCAGATGACTGTTAGTGGCAACAAAGAAGCTTTTATTCATCTAAATAATCACTGACTGAATTTTTAAGGAACTTGCTTTGCGGTTTGGAGACTTGTGGATTTCTCTGAAATAATTTACTTGGAAGCACCATTATCTTTTTGTATCTTGTAATATCTTAGATGAAGATACTTACTTTCAATTAAATTTGGTGTTTGTTTTAAAAGCACTACTTGAAAAATATAACACATATTGATAATAAATGTTCTCACATTAATGGTTATGAATAGTAAATTTGCTCTATTGGTACACTGCTTGATATTCTAGTATGGGAATCTGATAACAGTGATTTGACTTACATTTGGATTTTGGCATAAGATTATGTTTGTGTTGGAGTTTCCTCTTATTTTTTTAAACACAATCCTGGAAATGGTCTCATCTCTTCAAATTTCTTACTCTTTTCTTGCATTTTTATGGATAAATTACATTGTTTGTTTTCATATCATATAGAAAACTCTGATTTCATACTTGGAGGAATAGGATGACCTAGAAAAGAACAATAATAACAAATTTGTCTTATAATTTAAAAGTATAAGTTAAAATGGTATTATGCATTTTAAATTTATAACAATATAAAATATTCAGCTTTCAAATAAAGTTGATTCCTAAACTTGATGTATGACTTTAAATCAACATTTGTACTTTAAAATAACTTATTCTGACCATAACAGTATATTTTTCATAGCTAGGAAAGAAAACAAGAGCAATATTCGGAATAAATTTTCCACTGATAATTTCTTTGAGGGGCTATGAATGGGGTAATATTTGAGTGTATATTGCTATTACATTTTATATTTAGACTTTTAATGCATGGAAAACCCCTTAGAGTACAGATTTTTAAAAATTCCAAGTCATTATTTATACCTATGAGTAGACTATATGTTTTTAAATGGCACACATTAATATTGGTATTTTTTTCACCTCAAGATCTAAAGCATTAAATGGTGTCGCTAGAGTAGGCCATTGACTAATTTACTAAACACTTAACTTCTGTCAAAGCTTCTAATTACTAATATTATTGCTGTTTGTTTTTTTTCACACCATAACCATTCTCTGTTGACCACTGCATGCAGATAGTTGGAAGTAAAGTTATGGTAAGTACAAAAGATGTATTTTTACCCTTAGTACTAAATCTTTGTTTTGGAGATTTGTGTTTTTGCATGCAATAATTAATTTTTAATTTTCCTAAAGTGTTAAGCTAAATATTGGAATCAATTAATTAAAATTTAGCTAAGTTAAGTACTTTCTTACAGTTTTGGGATATCTTTTAAAAATAGAATATACCTGGGTTTTCTTGAAGGGTTTTTTTTCCCCCCTTGGAAAATCCATGTCTGCCATTTTAGATAACTTGGGTGAAATTGAAATTGTGTGCTGTATGTTGTTTATTATTAGAGCATGTAGGGGTATTTCTCAAGTATGGTCTTCTGTTTACACAAATTCTTATAATGATGTCTTACACACATACACACACATCAAACCAGTTAGGAGACCCGAAGAGCTGTTTTTGTTGGATGGTATATATTGGCTCTTACTTTTTATGAGTAATGTTTCCCTGGACTTCACATATTAAGTAGATATGTTAAAATTATCAGTTTATGTTTTAAGTCTTTTGGTGCTACCATTTAAGGGTTTTGTACTTAAAGTATTGCAGTTACAATATACCTCTTAACAATCCAGAAATTACCCGTATCATATTTCAGAGTTGTTTGTAATAACTTTGTCTTCTTGAGTGTATATCATTTTTTTGGAGAACAGAGTATGAAGCAGCTTTAAAAATCACAGAATAATGATGCATTTAGCCTAGTGCATCATTTAGCCTATTAAATTAGCATTAGCTAATTTAATATTTACTTTGCCTTTAAAAGTTCCTTATTTATTCCCTCCTTTCCTCTCTCTCCATGGGAGATGCTGCATTTATCTGTGTGTATATGTGTACATGTGCCATGGCACATGTGTAAAGGCCAAAGGACAACTCCACAAATCAGTTTTCTCCTTTCACCATGGGATATAACTCAGGTTGTCAGGCCACTCAGCAGTCTTTCTGATCTTATGCCTCCATTTTAAAGTCATCTTTAGCTCTGCTCCTGTCTTTATCCTGACAGGAACCCTTGACAGTTCCTAATAACTTTTTTTTTTTTTCTGGAATCAAGCACATACTAGCTTTTAACTAGAATACTCTTTCTTCTTTGGTGGCCCAGCAAGTATCCAAGTTCCATTGAAACTTTCATTGTTGCAGGAAGAAGCTGTCCCATGTAAGTCCTTCCGTCCACTAGCATCATGTTTTTAACATTTTAGAATAAAGCTCTTGCTTGCTTCTTTTGCCAATCAACGCAGCTTTTGCTTTCAAGAAACTGGCTCTAAAGGGAAAGAAGATAGATGACAACAGTCAGGTGTACAGAACAGAGAAGGATCCCAAAGAAGCTGTATTGTCATGGCAAAGGCAGAGGCTGTGCATGAGCCCTAGAGTGTTCTGAAAGGAGATGATTTGAGATACGTGCTATGGTTAGATCCAGAGTATGTCTTTCTTCATGGCCATTTTCTGATCTTGCATCTGCTTCTCACATTTGTACTGTCAGCTTCTGCTGCAAAGAGAGTAAACTGTAGGCATCCCTTCTACAGGAAATGAGGAAGGTGTAATTTAAAGTAGAGGTAGGAGGGATGCATTATGGTAATTTTATCGTCCTAATTTTACTTTATTTTATTTTTTATTTTGCAGCTAAAGAGAGAGACAAAACAATATATAAAATCATTCCAGTTAAAAGACAACTTCAAAGGGTTTATGTGTCATGGGCTCACTAATCTTCAAAAGGTGGGAGGAGTATTTTTGCTGGTAAATAGGCAGGTAGAAATTTTGTAGAGGTGCCATAGACAGTAGATTTCTCAAATCAGCAAATTAAGTATTGTGGTTACTTAGAGATTTTTAACATTGGTTTAAACATGAGTGCTGGAAGAGCCAGAATGAAATTGGAAAGATGGGATATACAATGAAGTAGGTCTGCATGGCCTGTTTTTTTTTTTTTCATTCTCTAACACTGGTTGCAAGCTGAATAGTAGGCCCTGCTGCTGATTTTTTTTTTTTTTTTTACCATTGCTGTTGCTTATCTATTTGCTTTAAAAAGCAAACCTGAAAGTTGCCTGATATTGGGACATAGCTACAACTTCATCTCCAGGTCATACTGATTCTAGCTTTGTGACTATTCTGCCTGTACTCACTTCACAGCTGTTGTATGAAGCCTTTCTTTATTCTGATTCCCCAAACCACACCCCATTTCCACTTGATACTTTATTGGAATTCCTGTAGCTCTTTCTTTTACACATGTTGTTCCGTTCTATTTGGTAATTCCTAGTACTTTATATATTCACTAAGGGATTTTTAAAAATGACATCCCTATTTTACTTTATAGTAATTAGCATACTTGAAGAGTAGCCTCTAGCCTTTATCATCGTTTGGGTTTGTATTTCTGTGTCCGTAGGACAGAGTCTATAGTTGGTGAAAGTCATATATTCATAAAGAAATGGGTTCGGTTTCAGACTATGTTGCATAGGGCCTGTATGACCTTGAGTAATTTATAGATAGATATATATGAGCCTCTGACTTCCCACTGTGAAATGAAAATACTAAGTTCAGGATAGGTTTTAGTGGGCTATTTGTATTTACTATAGTCAAAATAGAAATAAACATGTCAATCATATGTCCAGTTTATCCTTTTATTAACTATAATAGTTATCTAAACATTATTTGAAAAATATAAAGCACAGCAATTACATTGTAAACTGAAATTAAGACCATGAAGTATCTTTTTTTTCTAAGCATACAAAATATATGCTGTTTGTAGGTTTAAAAGTAGAAATGCAATTATTTCTGGATCAAGAATAGTGAGAAGGCTGGACAGTTATGGTGTACGCCTTTAATGCCAGTACTTGAGAGGCAGAGGCAGGTGGATAACTATGAATTTGAGGCCGCCCTGGTATATACAGATTGAGTTCTAGGACAGCCAGGACTGTTAATACAGTGAAACCCAGTTGGGGGAAATTCCCCCCTCCAAAAAAAGAAAAAGGTTGAAAGGATTTTGCTGAATGTTAGAAGAAGACTTCATTTCTTTATTGGAAGCCAGGTGTTACTTGCTGTGAGTTATTTCTGGGTTTTGAGAAAAAAGTAAAACAACAGAAGCAACATCAACAAAAACAATAGAAACATCCTTTGAGGTCACAAGTTACTACTGACACGTTTATTTTAAAGGGTCACTAAAATAGTTGACGATTTTCTATAAATTCTTTCTATGAGGTGAAAAGATGAAAGTTGAGGAGAATTTGGAGTAAGATAGAAGTGGGACTGAATGATGACTTTGGGGGCTTCTAGTTCTAAATAAATATGGTCAAACTTTGTGAACCAAAATAGTTTTTATTGCATAGTAAAATATCTTACGAAGCATATTTAGAAAACAGTTAAAATGACTGACTTTATTTTATTGCAAGCCAGGAATAGTTTATCCATATACATAAAAGTAAGCATTCTTACAGAGAGCAAAAAAAAAAAAAAGGAACAATTGAGCTGATTATACAATGATACTTTAAAAATATAAATATAATGATTAAACCTCATAGGGTTAAACATAAGGCAATTTAATATAAGTAGTTCAGTGCCTAGGGCAAAATGGGCACTTTAGGAATGTTAGTTTTACCTCTGAAAAGACCAGAATTTAAATAGCTGACTTATGGCTAGACATGCTGGTGAAGCATTCAGTTTCAGAATATACGAGACAGAAGCAGGTGAATCTCTGAGTGAGGTGATATATAGACTGGCCTGGTCTATATATCAGGCTCCAGGCCAGCCTGGACTATATAATAAGACCCTATATCAGAAAAAATAAACCAATAATTTAACATGCATTCATTCTCTCTTAACAGTGTGTTGACAGGGTCTCATGTATCCAAGGCTGGCCTCGTATTCCTCATCTTCCTTCAATAACCTTTACATACTGCCATTACAAGCATATCCTGCCGCGCCCAAATCCTTTATTTTTTCAACCCAGAGTCACAGGTATCTGTTATATATCAGGCAATATTCTTGGAATTATTATAGGACCCCCTGACCATAATGCCTGACTTTGCATTCTAATACACACCCATATTCAGAAAAAATGGCATAAAATACGTGAAACAAGAAGAATGAATTTCTTTTCCTGCTTATGCTAAAATCGGTGGGAGAGAGCTAGTCTCATTCTGTCTCCAGCTTTCCCATAACAGTGTTATTATTTAGAGAAAAGATGAAACAAAAGCCTAGAAATGTGTGTATAGACCTTGGCCTTCAGTCTCCATTTAGGGAAATGGCAAGTCAGCGTTTCTCGTGAATGAACCATTTCCACTCTTCCTTGGCAGGACCTGTAAAAAGCTAGAGCTAAGAACCACAATTTAAATATACAGGTCCTAATTTCTAGGACTCCTTGTACTGTTAGCATGATAAACTATGCAGGTTGTACTCATGGAGCTAACATTTTAGTTGGGGAAACATACAGTAAGACACATATCAAATATTATGACAGGTCTTGGCAAGTGCTATGAAGGAAAAAATGTAAAAAAAAAAGAAAGATGAGAAAGCACAGTGATCAGGGATGTCCTGTTTTACTTAGGCAAGCTATGTAAGCAAGTGAGAATTCAGGGGAAATGGAGAGAGCCATGCAGATATCTACAGAAGAGCTTTGCAGTCTGACATAATGCCAAGTGCAAAGGCCTCGAGGCAGAAATGTTCATGGAGTGTTTGAGGAATAGAATGGAGGGCACTATGGGTAGGTAGCATGGGATGGGCAAAGGACCGGAATGGGTATTTATTAACAATGCAAAAAGCTAGTTCAAATAGATGAAAATACATTTAGACATAGCTAGTTTTCCCCAAACTTGGAAAGGAAAGCTGCGGTTATTTTAGGAGAGCTGTATGAATAGTCATTGGGGAGTCCTGGGTGTTTTTGAGACTTAGAATGACAGAATTAGAGGCTTCTGCTGGAGAGGACTCACAGTAGTAGACTTTGCAGAGGTTAGAGACCGAGGACAGAGAGCACAAGTAAGTGGTTTCTGCAGTGGTATCGTGACTGAGTTG